CCCACGAAGCCCCCAGAGGCACCACAAGCCCCCCAAGAGGCCCCAGGAGGCCCCAAAAGGGGCTACCAAGACCCCCAACGAGCTCCCAGGAAGCCCCAACAGGCCCCCCCAGGAAGCCCCAAGAGGCCCCCAAGAAGCCCCCAAGATGCTCCCCAGAGGCCTCAGAACTGCTCCCCAGAGGCTCCGGAGAGCCCTCCGAAGAGACCCCAAGAAGCATCCATGAGGACTCTGACCCACAACCCGGGTACGTCTCGAAACTCTGATGGAGCTCTCTTGAGCAATCTGGGCGCCCTCTGGTGCAGTCGATCGACTCTCTTCGGCAGGGCGCGAGCCACATCTCCAAAGGTCTCCTCGAGGACAATCCTGCCTGCCCCACCGTTCCTCAGGGGTCAAGCACACCACCATTCAGCCATTGAGATGCGAAATGGGCCGGCGGAGTGAGCGAAGCGATTAAATAAACGGATGCATGCATGCATGCATGCATGCATACGTGCATACGGGTACAGATGTGTATATGAACATAGAGATGCACGTCTACATATACATCTGCATAAACATATGCACACCTACCTACACATGAACATACCTACATATAGTGTGCAAGTATGCGTGCGTGATGTGTCAGCACAAGCTTTGAAGGAGAGGAGGAGGAGGATGTTGATGGGAATGAAGCTGGGAGAAGGGGGAAAGCTGAGGAAAGCTGAGGAAAGCTGACAAGGACAACTGAGGGGTATATCCGTAAGACGTATGCCCAGAGCGTTCAAACGTCAAAAAGTCGAGTGCAGCCTGCAGCAGCATCAAACGAGCCGATTAAAACATATCGAATATTGAAGGAAAATATGAAGCCTGGGCTTCCTCTCCCACCCACCTCCTCCCTCCTCGCTCGTCCGTTCCCCTCCTCGAAGATCGAGGGCAAAAGATGTTGGACGTGTTGGCCCTCTCGAGCCTCTGCAGGCCCGTACAGGGCTGCTGAAGGGCCACCTCCTCCTCATCCTCGGCCTCGGCCTCGTCCTCCTCCTCCTCATCCTCCTCCTCCTCCTCCTCCTCCTCCTCCTCCTCCGGTGCGATCTTCCTCCTCGTCCTCCTCCTCCTCGCGCGGACCGAGGCGACCGCTGAGTTCGTCGTCCATGGCCTGCGTCTGCTGCTTCATGGAGGAGATGTCCGCCGTCTTCGGGTCGATCTGCGCCTTGAGCTCCTCGGTCGGCATTGGCCGCCGAAGTGGCGCGGAGAGGCTCGAGGATCCGAGGAGAGATCGAGGATCGGGGATATCGAGGATCGCGGAGGATGGATCAACGACCCAGGATCCAGGAAACAAGAGGATCGGGGAATCGAGGGTCGAGGATCCAGATTGGGGGGGTCGAGGATCGGGGAGCGAGGCTTCTGGATGCCCCTGGACATCTCTGGGCTCCTCTGGGGTTCCCTCGACGCCCTGGTCGACACGGCCACCCTTCCCCGACAACTCTCGCCACGTCTGACATCCCCGCCCCTCCGAATTCCTCGTGGGACCTCTGATTTTGAACCCCCCATCCCCTCGATTCCTCGCCCAGGCCCGATACACGCCCTCCACCGCACCTCCCACTGCCTCTGACAGCCCCGCCCCTCCAGACTCCCCTTGAAACCTCTGGCTGCGGGACGCCCCACCCTGCAAGTCCGCGCCCGCAACTGACCCACGCCCCCCACCGCACTCCCCACCGCTTCTGACACCCTCACCCCTCCAGACTCCTCCAGGGACCTCCAGGTTTCAGACACCCCACCCTGCAGCTCCTCGCCCGGAACCGACCCACCGCACTCGCCGCCGCGTCGGACACCTCCACCCTCCAGACTCCCCCTGAGACCTCTTGGTGCGGGACCCCCCACCCTGCAGATCCTCGCCTGGAACCGACCCACGCCCCCCACCGCACTCCCCACCGCGTCTGGCCGAAACGGGCGCAGACCACGAAACCCCCACGAAGAGCGACTCCTCCACGTCCAAGGCCCGCTTTCTCGACGCTCCTCTCGGCGTCCACGTGCTCCGCATGGCGGGCCGGCGCAGGGCAGAAATACGACCGCGCCGCACGAGCTCCGCATGCCCATCGCCGAGGGTTCCGAGACCTCGCCGCCGCGCTGCACGCCAGACTCTGGAGCTGAATAATAAGCACCCTGCAAGGTAGACATCGCCAAAGCGCCCCGTAGTGCAGAGAACCAGCTGGGGCTGGGAAGGGCAGTGCCCCCGCCAGGGCCGGCGCCGCGGGGGGCCGAGCGCGTCGACACTCGGACCGCCAAGCGCAGCGCGCCCCAGTCACCGCGCGATCTGCGAAACTTGCGTCGCCCCGCGCAGTTCCTCAAACGGCGCTGCGCTCAGACGGCGCGATGGAATCCCTTTTTTTGAACATCCCAAAAATATTCAAAACTCACCCAAAAATAATCAGACATCGTCCCCGACTATCTTTTGACTACTTTTGAATATTCCTCCTGTAGAGGGACAGGCCCGACTGTAAGGATGGAATCACTTGGGCGCGCTCTCTCGGCGGCATCGCCGCCACCCTCAAAAAACCGCCGTTTTCGCTGGAAACCCTCGGGGGGCTCGGCGGCGGGGCGGGGAACCGCCCAGCAACGCCCGGGCGGGCGCTGCCACGAGCGCGCACGCCATCATGGGTCCGGACGAAGAGTTTGCTCCCGCGCGCCTAGTGTTAGGTCGGGCGTGTCCTCCTACAGGGGGATGTTGGACGAAAGATAAAGAAAAGCGAGAATATCCCAAACTTGTATCTTAAAAAAGAGACATCCTCCCTATGATGTTTTAATATTCTTGTTTTGAATCTAGTTGTATCGTATCTGATATGTTTTGACAAGTTTTGAATCTTCCCCCTGCAGAGGGACAGAGGCCCGACGCCAGCCTGGTGGCGGCTGGATGGCGGCGCGGCGCCAGCTCGCGAGTCAGCTCCCTGGCCCTTTCCATCCCTTGAAGCTGCACTCGGCTCGGCTCCAAGCGGGGTGGGGCGGCTGGGCGGGGTTCTTGAAGCATGCATGCACCGGTGATTCGCCGAGTCTTCGTGGTTTGTTCAATGATTCGGATGCCCGCGCGCTCGACGTGGCACGGCAGCCCGCGCGGACGGGCCTCGGACAAGCGCCGGCGCGAGCGTGGCACACCGCGTGGGCCAGCACGGCCAGGGGCCCGTGCATCCGCGGGCTTGTGCGTCCATCCATCGAGCCGGTTCCCCAGTGCACTGCAGCAGTGGAGGCGCGGAGGCACGCGCGCGCCCCAGCAGCAGCGGCAGCAGCAAGAAGTCGTGGACCTGGAGGTGCGTGGGACACCGGCGTGGACAGCCGGGACTGTACAGGTCGGGCGAAGTCACAACTGCAGCCGTGGCGAGCTCCTCCGTGCCCTACCCTGGTCTCCCGGGGGGGAGGCGCCCACCAGCAGCAGCAGAAGCAGCAAGAAGCACGAGACCCCAGGATCGAATCGATGAGTCGGACCGGCGGTCGAAATGTCTCGAATCGGCGGGCGTCGGCAGCCCAGTCGGGAGGAGTCGAGTCGGCAGGCATCGGCAGGCCGGTAGGCCTCCATTGAGAAATCGGATCCGAAATCGGAATCCGAAGTGGACTCCAATCGAAACCGGAATCCATCGAAATCGAATCGAACCGAATCGAATCGGAGAAATCGAAATGAGCCCTGAGAAGTCGTGCACCCAGAGGTGCCTAGGATACTGGCGTGGAAAACTGGAACTAGATAGGTCGGGCTAGATTGAAACTGCAACCGTGCCGTTCTAACCGAACGTCGTCTAGCTCCTTCGTCAACCACAGAGAAGGGGCCCCATCTGCCATGCCGTGAGCTGCCGCGATCGCCATGCGCAGCATCCGGGTGGTCCAGTCGGCGCGTGGCCTGCCCACTTTTCTCAGTGCTCATTATTCATTACTCACTACCCACTACTCACTACTCGCTACTCACTACTCACTTCTCACTACCCACTGGCCACTTCTCACGACTCACAACTCAGTACAAACTACTCACTACCCATCACCCACTACACACTACGCACTACTCACTACCCACTACTCCCAACTCACTACTCAATACTCACTATTCACTACCCACTTCTCAATACTCAATACTCACTAAACGCTACTCACTACACACTACTCACTACTCACTGACCACTACTTACTACCCACTAACCGCGATCCACTACTCACTACTGATGACTCACAATTCACTACTCACTACTTACTGCCCACAACTCACTACTCACAATCCGCTGCTCGCTACTCGCTACTCCCTACTCCTTACACAATACTCACTGCTCACTACTCACTACTCACTACTCGCTACTCCCTACTCGCTACTCGCTACCCGATACGCAAGATCCACTACCCACTACGCACTACTCACTACTCGCTATTCACTACTCCCTACTCCCTATTCCATAGTCACTAGTCACTACTCACTAGTCACTACTAACTACTCACTATTCAGTACTCACTCTTCACTTCTCACGACTCATTACTCACTAATGACTACTCTCTACTCGCTACTCCCTATGCACTACCCACTACTCACTACCCACTCCTCTCTTCTCACGACTCACTGATGCCTACTCCCTACTCAGTACGCACTACTCAATACTCACTACTCACTACTCACTACTCGCTACTCCCTACTCGCTACTCACTACTCCCTACTCACTACTCACTATTGACTACTCCCTCCTCGTTACTCACTAGTCACTCCTCACAATGCCCTACTCGCTACTCGCTATGCACTACTCGCTACTCCCTACTCGCTACTCATTACTCACTACACACTCACCACTACCTACCATTCACTACTCACTATTCACTATTCACTACTCACTACTCAATACTCGCTACTCCCTACTCGCTACTCGCTACTCCCTACTCACTACTCACTACTGACTACTCCCTCCTCATTACGCACTATTCACAATGCCCTACTCGCTACTCACTATTCACTACTCGCTACTCCCTACTCGCTACTCACTACTCACTACCCACTACCCACTACCTACTACTCACTACGCACTACTCATTACTCACTACTCGCTACTCCCTATACGCTACTCACTACTCCCTCCTCACTACTCACTACTGACTACTCCCTGCTCATTACGCACTACTCACACTGCCCTACTCGCTACTTTATACTCACTACTCGCTACTCCCCACTCGCTACTCACTACTCACTACCCACTCCCCACTACCCATTGCTCACTACTCACTACTCAATACTCACTACTCATTGCGCACTTCACTACTCCCTTCTCACTACTCACTACTCACTACTCACTCCTCCCTACTCGCTACTATTTACTCACTACTCGACAGACCCCCCCCCTTGCGGGAGAGGCCCCCTCCCGGGCTCCATGTTCGGCGCAAAGGGGGAGAGGGGAGGGGGGGGGGGCGAACCCCCCCCGCCCCCTTCCAGCGCCAAGGGAGGGGGGGCCAGGGGGGTCTGCCCCTCCCCCCCCCCTTCAAGGGGGGGAGGGGAGGGAGGGGAGGTTCGGACCCCCCTCCCTTTAAGGGGGGGAGAGGGGGGGGGGGGAGGGGCGAAAATCTTTGAAGGGGGGGACGGGGGGGTTTCTGCGAGCACACACCCCTTTTCAATTACAGGGTCATCCACTGGCGCGCCTTCCTTTTCTCACGTACCCTTAGGTCGGGCATGTCCCCCTACAGGCGGATTCTGGAGGAAACACTCAAAAATAGCCAAAACATATTCAAACAAAATACCAAACCAATGCCCAAAACTGCGTCCACTGACTATCTTATGTTTGAAGACTCCCCCGGTACAGGGACAGGCCCGACTCAAACGCACCTCTCGAAGCTCGTCGGCGGTCCTTCGCAGGTGGCGCCCGCGGGGCGGGACCCGGAGGCTCGAGGAGGCGAGGCCCCGGGCTGGCGCTGCCTCCTGCCTGCGGCCCCTCGTCCTCGGCGCCCCGGCCCGCGGGGCCCCGCACTTTGTGCATCGCCGACTGGAGGAGGAGGAGGAGGAGGAGGAGGAGGAGGAGGAGGAGGAGGAGGAGGAGGAGGAGGAGGAGGAGGAGGAGGAGGAGGAGGAAGGAGGAGGAGGAGGAGGAGGAGGAGGAGGAGGAGGGAGGGAGGAGGAGGAGGAGGAGCGGAGGGAGGAGGAGGAGAGAGGAGGAGGAGGAGGGGGAGGAGGAGGCGGAGGAGAGGAGGAGGAGGAGGAGGAGGAGGAGGAGGAGGACGAGGAGGAGGGGAGGAGAGGGAGGAGGAGGAGGAGGAGGAGGAGGAGGAGAGGAGGAGGGAGGAGGAGGAGGGGAGGAGGAGGAGGAGGAGGAGGAGGAGGAGAGGGAGGGAGGGAGAGGAGGAGGAGGAAGAAGAAGAGGGGGACGAGGCGAAGGAGGAGGAGGAAGAGGAGGAGGGAGGAGGGAGGAGGGAGGGGAGGAGGGAGGAGGGAGGAGGAGAAGGGAGGAAGGAGGAAGGGAGAGGGAGGGGAGGGAGGAGGGAGGAGGGAGGAGGGAGGAGGGAGGAGGAGGAGGGAGGGAGGGGGGGGAGGAGGAGGAGGAGAGGAGGAGGAGGAGGAGGAGGAGGAGGAGGAGGAGGAGGAGGGAGGAGGAGGAGGAGGAGGAGGAGGAGGAGGAGGAGGAGGAGGAGGGGGAGGGGGAGGTTTTTTTGTGCTGCAAGAACGATGCCTGGCGGTCCCCGCCCCAGCTCGCCACAAGATTGGTGGGATAGGCGGGCACTCCGCCACGGGGTGCCTTCCCGCCTCCATCCCGATTCAGTCCATGAGGCACTCCCAGAAGGCGGCGCACTCCTCCTGTACCAGGGAGCGCTGTACCCCATCCAGGGAGACCTTCACTGCGTGAGGATTTCTGCCTCGGCGCAGGAGCGAGAGGCGGTACCCTGCGGTGGGGTTCGCTGGAGCCCCTTCGCAGGCGCCAAGGAGCTTGCAACCCCTCTCGCTCGAGAAAACACCGCACCGATCGCAGAAGGTGTACTGGCCCACGCGGTGCAGCTCGTGTCCAAGAGCCGCACCGCGAAGGGCGGGAGAGATGTCTCCTTCCCCGTCCCCCCGCCCCAGCTCGACTCCCCAACGACGGTCCACCCTCATCTTACCCTGGCAGGGCCTGCGCGCCAACGCGCGCCTGGCCTTGCTGGAGAAAGCCTTGCGGCCACACGTCGAGCACCGCCACGCCCCCTTCCTCCAGAGGAGGACGTGGGCGCGAGCACCCTCGGGCGGCCCCTGCCGCCGTCGGCGGGCTCCGCGGGAGCCCGCGGCAGGCCTCCCCGTGGAATCCCCGAAATCCGCAGTCCGCCCCGTCACCCCCGCCACCAGAGTCAGCACCGCCTGGACCTCCGCCGAGCGGGTGGTCCAGGTCTGGGCCTTCCACGGGGGAACCTCCTGCATGTAGGCCCCAAGGCGGGCCTCGCGGTCTGCCAGTTGATTCCCTTGAAAATCGAGACGGCTCTCGTGTGAGTCGTCCTTGGGCCCACGAGCGTGGGCTTTCACCTTGACGGCCTGGAAGTCGCCTTCCTGGCCGAAGCTGTCCTGGAGCAGGGCCCAGATCCTGCCCCAGAGGTCGGCGTACGGCCTCCGAGGGCTGCAGCACCAGCGGGGGCCCCTACGGAGGCCTCGAATGACCGAACTATTGTCGATCCCTACCCGCAAAGGCGGTGAGCGCTAGCCAGCAGCTTGAGCAACCCATACAATTCGGCACGGAGGACGGAGGCGAGACTACGCAGCCCTGGGAGGGCACCCCGCATGGCCTTGACAGCCCCCCCGTCCTGGTCCAGGAAAACGTAGCCCCAGCCGAAACTCTTGAGCCCTGGAGGGCCTCTGGCCGAGCCGTCGAAGTAGGCCCAACCTGAGACCAGCGGGGGATTCACAAAATCGGGATTTTCTTCCTCTCGGGCAGAAATCCAATCAGACAGTGGGTCCTCCAAGGGGTGCTCGTGAAGCCCACGGGAGAAGAGGAGGGATTCCGAGGAGGAGGTTTCAGCACGATGCAAAATCCCTTGGAGGCCCTCATCCTCGGCGACGGTGGCTCTCGCTGCTCCTCGGTCTGGGCAGCGGCAGAAACGATGGTGCTGGCATCCGATTTCAGCGCCACAGGCTTGACAGGACCTGTCGCCCCCGAAACCCGCACGCCAGACTTTCTCTTGGGTCCAGAAATCGCGGCCCATGTAGGCCAGGATAGCCGATCGCCTCTGCGGCGATCGGTTAGCCTTTCGTCGAAGGAGAGCCCGAATGGGCTCTAGGAAGGGGCGGGTGATCCCGAGGTCCCTGGAGGCCGCCCAGGAGGTCATCACCGCGAATTCGACACGGGACCAGATCAGCTTCTTGAGACACTGCGGGGCCGTCCTACGCAACTCCCACTGCTGCCCGAGATGGTCGGAGAAAACGTGAGGGGCAGGCCACGTCCAAGAGAGGAGACGGAGAGTGGCCCAGACGGCTGAGGCAGGTCCTTTTATCTGTCTCCAGGGGCTGCTCCCAGGCGTGGCGGCAGCGGCCGCCGCGACAGCTCTGCGCCACCCCGCAGTCATGAGTTCCTCATGGCTGCCAGCAAAGACGGCCTCCGCCCATTTGAGCAGTGGCTTCGTGCACGCGTCGACCAGGGGGTCGCAGCGAAGCGTCCGCAGGCGCAGCAGTCGGTCCTTACCGATTGCATTCCCGCCCAGCGCCGAGGCCATGAGGGCCCTCGCTCGGGTGAGCCGAGTCGGGTCCATTCCGAGGCAGGCCGCCCCATATAGCACGGAAGGGAGGAAGCCCATGCGCGCGACCTGAAAAGTGCGCGCGCCCTGCTTGCCAAGACTCGATAGCTTGCTTCTACGTCGCCGAGCGCTCCCCATCCTGGCGTCGGCTGGGGGAGGGGGAGGAGGAGGAGGAGGAGGAGGAGGAGGAGAGGAGGAGGAGGAGAGAGGAGGAGGAGGAGCAGGAGGAGGAGGAGCAGGAGGAGGAGGAGGAGGAGGAGGAGGAGGAGGGAGGAGGGGGAGGAGGAGGGGGGCAGGAGGAGGAGGAGGAGGAGGAGGAGGAGTAGGAGGAGGAAGAGGAGGAGGAGAGGAGGAGGAGGAGGAGGAGGAGGAGAGGGAGGAGGAGGAGGAGGAGGAGGAGGAGGAGGAGGAGGAGGAGGAAGGAGGAGGAGGAGGAGGAGGAGGGAGGAGGGAGGAGGGAGGAGGAGGAGGGAGGAGGGAGGAGGGAGAGGAGGAGGGAGGAGGTAGGAGGGAGGAGGTAGAGGAGGGAGGAGGAGGAGGAGGAGGAGGAGGAGGAGGAGGAGGAGGAGGAGGAGGAGGAGGAGGAGGAGGAGGAGGAGGAGCCCCCCCCATCGGCGGCAGCGCGCCACGGCACGCCCCTCCGAAGCGTGCCGCCCCGCACCGCGAGGGCCGCGGAGGCCGGGGCCGCGGGCCCCCCAGAAGTGTACACCACCACCACCTCCACCCTCCCCCTCCTCTACCCTCCTCCTCTCTCCCTCCACCTCCTCCACACTCTCCCTCCTCCACCACCACCTCCTGTCCCTCCCTCCCTCTCCCTCCACCCTGTCCTCCACCCTCTCCCTCCTCCACCACCACAGCAGTCCCCTCTCCCTCCTCTACCCTCTCACCTTCCCCCATGCCTTCTCAGAAGGCCTCCCCCTATATCGCGCTTCCCCTGGTGCGCGCCGCCGATCAGCCGCATGCATTGAATGCGGGCCCCAATGATGTACACCACCACCACCCACATTACCCTCCACCCTCATCGTCCTCTCCTCTTTCCTGGGAGAGGGCGGGATGAGGGAGGTGGTGTGGTGTATACCTTTGGGCCCCATGTTAATCAGCCCATTCTCAGCCTGCCTCTGAGCCGAACTGGGCCAGAGGACCGCATAGGATATGCCAGGGCCGATGCCAAACCCAGCTTCCCAGAGGTCGCAACATAAGCCCTCGGGCCCGAACACGCCCTGGCGATCTTGATCTCCAGGGTGCGGGGTCTTTGAAAGAAATGAGCCCACGATCAGGTGAAGAGGGAGGCGTCCTTGATCTTGTAGTCGAGCACAAACTTGAACTTTTCGAGCTC